GTGTGTGTGTGTGTGTGTGTGTGTGTGTGTGTGTTTGTATCATTATATAATACTCACTTGTTAAATAATTTGAGAGCTCTGATTCAGATGTTAGTTTTAAACTGCATTACATATTGTTCAGATATTTTTAGGATGCTGACCCAGGAAAAACTGATTTCTCCTCTACTTTTAGATGGTCCGGTAGTCTATGCAGCATACTTGAAAATGGAGCACAGTGATGAAAATATTAAATTCTGGATGGCGTGTGAAACCTATAAGAAAGTTGCGTCACAGAGGAGCAGAACTTCTAGGGCCAAGAAGCTTTATAGGACTTACATCCAGCCACAGTCCCCTAGAGAGGTAACCACACCTAATAATGCCAGCAACCGGAAATCAATACACCCCAGGAAAGCGTTAGTGTCTGTCAATGACACGTATGTGCCAGCACTTTACATCCAGTACCTCCTATAGTGCTATGTAGTCAGTATTGTTAACCTTATTTTACAGATAAGAAACCTGAGAATCTGAGAAGTTAATTTAACTTCTTCAGGGTCACACAGCAGTTAAGTAGGAAAGTTAGGCCTGTCGGGCTCCAAAGCCTCTCCTCATTAAGTTACCTCAATTCCCAGGAAAGTGAAAAAAAAAAAGAAGTCCTTGTAAGAATTGACTCTGCTACAAGAAACAACAGATAGCATAGATGTGGTGACTTCCCCGGGGGGGGGGGGGGTGGGCAAAGTGTGCCATCACTGCTCACCTTAGTTTAAAACCAGCAAACCCAGCAAACATTCACACCGACATTCCTGCCAATCACTTACAACTGGAGAAAGGAAATAAAGAGTCATGAATGAAACGGACACCCTGAGACTCCTCCTGGTGGAGAGAAAACGAGGAATGAAAGTTCTGGTCAAGAGGATAAGGGTAGAGGGTGGTTCATGAGATTCCTGTCTTTCAGGAGAGTCCAACATTACCGACTTGTTCCTCAAAACTCTTGTCTGGAAAATACTTGGTTCATTGAATAACCACTTCTCTCCTCTATTTCTCCACTTCCCTTCACTTTCTTCCCATTTCAGGGCATAGTCAGTTAAATCAACGTTCATGACTGTTAAGGAAGATAAACTTCAAAATAGCCCCGATTTCCCTTTTCTTTAAGAGAGGCCTCCATCTCATAAACTCCTTGCTTGCAGACTCCACTAACAAACCACTTGCACCTGCCTAAGGAAGCAATGGTTTCTGGTATTTCCCTGGTCTTGGCCCTCATGTTTTATGGGGTTTTTGTTTTTGTTTTGTTTTTTAAATCTGGGATGTGGAGTTGGATGTTTACTTTTTCGAAAGCAAGTAGCTTATCTCTTATCAGTCTTTTGAGATACCAATGAAACTGCAAACAAAATTACCCTATTCCACTGAAAAGGAAAGGAGGAAAAAAATTAAACCTTTCCATTCCATTTTCATCTTCAATTATGCCTACTTACATTCTACATGTAATTTCACGTTTCAGATTAACATTGACAGTTCGACAAGAGAAACCATCATCAAGAATATTCAAGAACCCACTCAAACGTGTTTCGAAGAGGCTCAAAAAATAGTGCATATGCACATGGAAAGGGATTCCTATCCCAGGTTTCTAAAGTCAGAAATGTACCAGAAACTTCTGAAGACTATTCAACCCAACAACAATTCTTGACCACCACTCAAAAGTTTAAATTGAAGCTGATATACTGAAAGTCCTGGCTTTGTGCTTTTAATACAAAAAAAAAAAAAAAAAATTGGGGCTTCCCTGGTGGTGCAATGGTTAAGAATCCACTTGCCAATGCAGGGGACACGGGTTCGAGCCCTGGGCCAGGAAGATCCCACATGCCGCGGAGCAACTAAGCCCGTGCGCCACAACTACTGGGCCTGCACTCTAGACCCCACGAGCCACAACTAATGAAGCCCGCGCGCCTAGAGCCTAAGCTCTGCAACAGGAGAAGCCACCGCAATGAGAAGCCCGCGCACCACAACAAAAAGTAGCCCCCACTCGCCGCAACTAGCGAAAGCCCACGTGCAGCAACAAAGACCCAATGCAGCCAAAAATAAATAAATTAAATATATAAACTTAAAAAAAATCAGAAATGGAGTAGAAATGAAATAGAAGAAATCAAACTATAAATTGATTTCTAGTTCTCAAAGAGAAACAGATCCTGAAAGGATGGACTACGGAACTCTTATAACATGAATAACACAATTTATAGCATACCTACATAGCTCACTTAATATATAAGGAGAAGGAAGGTCTTTCTTCATGACAACAGTGCGATAAAGTTTTTACTGTAGAAATCCAACTAGATGGATGTTTTCTTATTAATGAAATTTTTCTGTCATAATGCACAGATCAGTTCTTTAAAAAGTGTAGCTATATGAGTTTTGTCTCTAGTGTAAATGTACTCTTTAGATAGAGTGTTCATAATAAATTTAATTAGTAGACAAATTTGGTGCTCAAAGTATAATCAATTGTATTACATCATAAGCCATATAAAAAGATGTGTTCTTGAGAGATATTTTACCTATAAAATCTTCCTACTATTACTTTCATAACTGAACTTCTATATTGCATATATCTTCTACATGTGAAAAATTCCAAATGAGTCTAAGCTATTTAAATGTATGAATTTCCTCATTTATTTTCATACTTATATTGCTATAGGGTAGAAAATTTGGTTCCTATATTTTGAGGGTTTTCTCCTCACAATCTGAATCCATCATGATGGTCTTGATAATCAATAAATCCAAATATAAACTAAAAACTTTATAAATATGTGATTTTTTTCAAAGACACGATAAAGTAATTTTTCCAGTAAAAGACTGTTTTTATCTTCCCTGTCATAGAAGCTTCTTAGAATCTGTCAGAATATTCCAAAGGAAAGAACTCATGTCTGTTTCACTTGCTTTGTTGAGCACATAGCACAGGATAAATGTTCCTTAGTAATGGATAAATATTCTTTACTTTTGATAAAGAATAAGATAGTTAAAATATTTAATATCATTTTTCCGAAGAATTAACTGTAGGAAATTTCTGATCAAGATTTTTAGTTTTAGTATCAGAAGTGTTTCTCAGGTCTCAAATTTGACTGAATAGCATTACTATTTTAAAATGCCTATAAACCTAAGCTGTATCACATGAAGATAAATATTAACTGGAATTATTCTCATTAAACAAAGAATTATTATAATATAGAATCAATATTCAGGGGTTCATTTCTGGGAAAGAGAATTAGCTGTGCAAGAGAACATTTTTTGTTAAAAAGTATAAAGCTGATTAATGGGGGCTCTAGTTACTTGTAGAAGGTGTTACCGCAGTAGTTCAATTTTATCTAATCCACTGAATTTATTTCTTTTAAAAATACCAGTATAAGAACACAGGTTTAAGTCTTAGATATCTGAACTTGATAATGATCCCTAGGCACGATATGCCAGAAAAAAAATGTTTCCACGCGTTTCAAATAGCCTCCTCATCTCATTCCATCAGCAAATGAGTATATGCATGGGCAAGTCAGAAAGGTCACCCATCCATGGCCTCGAGACACATGGTTTCAGGACACCTTGAACGCTTCTCACGCAAATTATACTAAATCAGCCAAACACTGATGTAACTAATAAATGGAATAACCAACATCCTTTGCTACTTATTTTTCCCCTTGCACTCCAACACAGGATAAGTCTAGAATTTTCAGTTTTGCTTATGTACTGATTTTACCTTCCAAATACAGTCCCTCTGCCCAGCCCTCAGATCACGTTCACCTCATGTTAGGGAAGCAAGGTGCCACATGGTGACAAGAAGCAAAAAGCTTTGGACCAAGCAACTGGATTAGCGCCTATTCACGCACCTCATGTCTCTCTCTGTACCCCTAGTACCAATAGGCCTCAGTTTCTTCACCTATAGAATAAAGAAATGGGGCTAGCTGATGGAATGAGCCATATGCAGTGTGCTTTTACATCCCATTACTAATGTACTCATCATTTCCTTCAAGCTTGGACTCATTTTGAAGAGGAATTCTTCCAAAAATTGATGTTTTCATGGCAAAGTGGATAATGAACTATTCTGTGTTTAACACCAATTGAGGGAGTTCTAAATTGTTTTCCTTAGGAACTGAGAATTTAAACTTAAAGTGCTATCTGTTCAAGAACTCTATGTGGAAGTATGTGTTTCATGTGACTGACAGTTAAATTAGTTTTCAGATTATTTTAACTTACTATCTTAAATCCTGTTTGTTTTTCTTAGGATTTTTAAATATTTCATTTTATTAAAACAATTCAAAAATTGATTGTATTTATCAAATGGCTACAAGGATATATTCACATTAACACATTTTTACATGGTATTTGTTTTATCCATATATTTTCAGATTAATAAATTAAAAACATATTGTTAGAGTTCTGATATCAGAACCTGGATATATTAATGATTTTTTTCCCATTTTTAGATATACATTTTCAAATTCTGGAGATGTACAAGATAAGGCTTCATTGTTTCCTCATAAAAATAAAGTCTTATCTTCTCCAAAAAAAGATAGTGACAGAGATTTGTACAATTCAGATTCAAGCATCTTGGCAGAGACAAGCACTTTCCTGTTTATAACTTATCAGTCACACCACAGTTCTGGCAACTGCAAAGGACTTTTTACCAATTTTGGAAGGATGATTACAGAAAAGATATGTATGAAGCTTTCTTCGAAGACATAATGGGGTGTGATTTGAAGAAAATCATAAGATCCTACTGCCCCCAAATATCTTTCCCATATCTAGGACCTGAAATTTCCATCATGATCATAAAAGATGAAAAACAGCATCTGAACTCAAGCTTTAAGTGAGCAGTGAAACACTAGTGCTGACACATTACCTGTTGCTCAGCAGAAAGCAAAACTTGGGGAAAATAGAATACAGGCATATGGGGTGGCACAGAAAAAGAGGCTGAGAGAACAAAGATATTAGAGTAAATAGAGGTCACCACATACCAAACAAGAGTGGGAACCTGGGGGACAAATGGAAATGGATTTCTTATTAAAATTTCCCTATGCGGATAATAGAAAACCAAAAGGGGAAGGAGGGGTTAGTTTAAAAAGCAAGTATTAAGAGGTACAAACTACTATATATAAATAATAAGCTATAAGGATATACTGAACAGCACAGAGAATACTGCCAATATTTTAAGATAACTTCAAATGGAGTATAATCTATAAAAATTTTGAATCCCTATGTTGTACACCTGAAAACTAATATAGTAAATCAACTATACCTCAATAAAAAATAATAATAAAATAAAGTATACAGGAAAAAAAAAACTGTGCCTCTTCAGGCTATTTTGAAGTACTATTTCCCACTGAATAAACAGATGTTGAATGATATTTCTAAAAAAGCAGTTATTCCCAACTGCTAAGTTTACATTTTAGTAGAAAAAAATGAATAGCATTCCTATAAAAATAAAAGAGCAAGTATCAAATTCCCCAATGAACAGTATTTATAGAAGCATTCCTTTAATAAAATCCTACCCAGCTCCTACTGAGTAGAGATATTGTAAATACGAACATTAATTAGAGGTTTCTTCTCTCAAGGATGTGTGAGCTGATAATTAAAATACAAAATAATAATGGCCAAGGTTGACGCGTGTACGGAGTGCTGTGGAATCCCAGCAGAAGCATCTACTCCTACCCTGGAGAACTTGGAAAGAGAAGAGATGCTGTGTAAGATGATTCTTGAAGAGTAATTAACAGATCATTCAGAGGAAAGGAGAAGGCAGTGTGGATTGAAACAAGGGCTCAAGAAGGGAAATTTTGCGGCAATTAGGAAGATTTAAAAGATGGAGGCTCTGAAATCAGATCTAAGTTCAAATCCAACAGCAGCTCTGAGAATTTAAGAAACTGCTTAACTTCTCTGAACCTTGTTTTCTCTTCATCTGTAAAATGATAATAACAATAACATTAGTAACATCTTCCTCATAGGCTGCTGTATATTTAAATGCATATCAGGTCTGTACTGTGGTCAATAAAATTTAATCATATTATTAGGTGCCATAAAAGTCCAAATGAGAGGCAATGATAGTCAGGATTAGGCAAGTAAGGAAAAGAGAGACCTTTCTGAGGGAGAAACTGTGAATTGGTCAGATAAGCGAAATAAGGGAGAAATCAAGGCTGATGCAAAGCTTCTAATTTGAGCATCAGGGCAGGTACAGATGTCATGAGTGGAGAGAGGCAGCCCGGGAAGGTGAGCAGGAGTGGGAGGCCTGCTGTGTGTGAGCGTCTGCATGCCGTGCGGGGGTCTCCAGAGGCTGAGCGTCTACACGCCGTGCTGGGGACGCCAGAGGGGCTGAGCGCCTACACGCCGCGCTGGGGACTCCAGAGAGGCTGAGCGTCTACATGCCATGCTGGGGACTCCAGAGAGAGGCAGAGATGTGGATCTGGGAGCTGTTAGCATGGCTGAGTCACTGACCACAGAAGGTCTTACAGGGAAACTGCAAAACAGAGGGTAGAAACGCAAAGCACTCAATCAAACCTTAAAGAGGGACGAGGGGAAGATGGCGGAAGAGTAAGACGCGGAGATCACCTTCCTCCCCACAGATACACCAGAAATACATCTACACGTGGAACAACTCCTACAGAACACCTACTGAACGCTGGCAGAAGCCCTCAGACCTCCCAAAAGGCAAGAAAC